CCGGGTACGTTTTCCTTGTTTCCTCCCTATTCATCTTTTGCATTGACTATTTTTTTCTTAGGTCTTCTTCTTTTATTTTTTGATACCCTCGCCTGATCGGCGGCCATCGTAAACTCCCCGGCGGTTCCTGTACTTTCGGGAGGTCTCTTAGCTGGACTGTGGTAGTCCCTGCCTGTCCTGCTACAAGCATTAGCCAAGCATAGCTGGGTCGACAATGGCGTCCCGTCTGCTGCCGTAGGGACCAGGGATCGACTGTGGAAAAGTTGGTTCACGGCCACGGGAAAAATTTGTCAGCAATCCGATTTCCCCCCGCCAAACGAAGTCCTATCCAAGAATTACCGAGGCGTATTCGAGACAGACCGAGTCCCATCGCAGGCAGACAGAAACGTATCCCAGCAGGACAGAAGCTCACCACTTGCAAGATCGGAACCTAAGAAGCCATCGTCATCCCTCCACCTGGCCATCGACAACAAGAACTTTGACTATGGCAACCAATGGAGGGGCTACGCGGGCTACTAGACTCTAGACGCTACAAATGTTTTCCACTTGCTTATACTAAGCTAAGTTCTGATGCATATAACTATTGAGCTATTTAAGCGGCCAAAGAAAATAGAAAAAACGGAAAAAATAAATTAAAAGAAATGAAAAAAACTAGCGACCCTCTGCTGATTTCTGTTTGCCTGGTATCCCAGATTTGAAATTTGGCCGTTACACAATTTTGATTTTTGACCCTCTGCTTATTTCTGTTGGCCTTTGGAGTTCTCGTTTTTGGCCATGTCAGCGGTTAGTTATTGAAAGTTATTGCTGTAAAAAAAAAAAAAAATTGTTCAATAATTGACAACAGCAACTTTTGTGTTTTTCTCTGTTGTTTGGATCTCGACCCAGGCGTTTGGCGGCTTTCTGGGTTCGAACTAGCTTCCTTGATCTAATGTATTCCTTATTAAGGACCAAGGATGCAGGATTTTTTCCAGATATAAATATTTAGTTTTCTCCCTTATTTTTTGATCGGGATGTGAGACGGCTTCCTATGATCTCAAAAATGTCCGCGATTTGATTAAGTCCATTTCAAGCACGGATGATCAAGGATATTTTCCCCAGCTTTAGACGGATGGCTTCCTGCCATCGAAAAAATGTCCCTGATTTGGAGTCCTTTTTAAGGATCAAGGACATTTTCCCCAATCAAAAAAATTGACTTTTCCCTGCTAACTGTGAACTGATCTGGACGTGCCACTCCTTTTTGTAATTTGGATAGTGTCCCCCAAACAAGAACAGCAAAGATCATTAAATAATAATTAATAATAATTTAATAATAAATAAACAAGCGGAAAACATTAGTATCTACTATCTAAATAATAACAACGAGATATATCTATAATATAACCCGCGTGGCCCCTCCCTTGGTTGTCACAGCCATTTAGGGAAAACCAAAACCATGTTTAGACTGTATAAAAGATGTTTTGAATTTTGGCGCCGCTAACTCAGTTTCGTTCTATCGATTACGTCTATCGATACAGCTCAATCGATATGTCGACTGAAAAAACATCGATATTTTCCACTATCGGTTTTTCAATATCGATATTAACGGACAATTTTAATTAATCAATTTAACAAATTCTATTTGTTTATATTATCATTATTACAAAATAAACTCATTAAAACCCATTTTTAATGTTATTTTGCCCAGATTTGACATGGAAACCCATATAACACATAAACACATTTCTTCTAAACTTTCTATCGATGGTCGAAACGATCGATGGTCGTGTAATTTTTCAACCATCGATAGCGCTACTGATTTCTTCCAGCCCTAGCTGTGATTGTCTTTAAATTAATTAAATAAAATTAAATAAAATTAATACAAGACATGCCAGCACAGAGGCTTCGTAGCCGCTGCTCGGATGGTTGCACGTACGTTGATGCTAACACACAATCTGGAGACCATTGGCGAGATGTCCTGCAATCCTTCGTTCGGGGGAGTTGGGAAGAGCCACGCTCCTGCGATGTGGCTGGAGTGCTCAACAACCGATGTGGGCCGCGGGCACAGATCGATCGGCAGCTATGCAAGACAGCTGTCCCGAAGGAACTTCCTAGCAGGCAGGACCTGGAGATTAAAGCCAACTGTTGTAGACACCAGCATCGACATTGAACTGGAGGTGAGACCGCCTGGACGAATGGGAGATTCTCTAACAAAGGCCTGAGGCTTGGCCATAGACCTGGACAGCCCATTGATTTATCCACAGGGAATATCGTGTACCCTAACCTTGGACATCCCACGCTCCATTAAGCTAATCGAGTCTTGCCAGGCGAATCAATACAGCGACCATTTAAATGAAAAGCACAGCAAATCAATTGAATCCTTACATACAGTTTATTTCATAAAATCATAAATGCCTTAGGTAATGTTGTACAAGATTGTTTAAATGTTGGTTTCGCATATCGTTTGCCACATGGTTGAACGCTGTATTTATACTGGTGCGCTGTTTTGTAGTTTGAATGTTTGTTTCTGGTTGTACCCGCTACTCCTGTGCAATTATGGGACGAAATATGAGGGTATATGAAAATCTTGGAGATTTGGTATAGAGGTTCTTTTATCTGCTCAGATGTCACACCTATACCTAAGCGTCGTAATGATGACAGCTGATTTGGAATTGCATTTAAAGAGTGAACTTGTGAGCTTGAAGTTGTGATCCTGTTCTGTTACTTGTAATAAAGATTGCAGATAAAAGTTCAGTAGCGGGTACTCTACAGTTCCTGGTTGTACTTGCTTGCGTAGTCGCTTGTCTGCCATCAATGATAGGCTCAACGGTCAATGGTCAAAGTATGTATGGATGCTATGCTGTATGCTGTATGATCTGTGATTTTGTGTATTTGGTTTTCGATTTTGATTGTGTTTCGGTTAGCTTACAATTTAATGTTTTACACTTTGTATTCTGTTTACACACACAACGAAGATTGAGGGAGAAGTACAGTACATTTAATTTATTTGGTTTTATTTGCATTTGTTTTGTTTTCTTTGGTTTTTAATTGTTTAGGTTGTATTTGAAACTATTTGTTTTTTAAATTGATTAGCTATCGCATGGCATTTGTGGGTTAGGTTATTAGATGCACGCCAATCGATATCAGTTATCTGTATATTATTCAAGAATCTATTACGATTAGTTTATTAAAATATATTCACTTTCAGTTTTACTGGTACATACACATAGTTTTGTCAAAGGAAAAATCGACTTGCATATGGCAGAATTTGTAAGGAAATGTGATCGGAACATGTCGGTGTCTATGGCTGTGTCGCGTCTCCCTCCGCTCCGGGGGTCTGGTGGGGTCCAGTCCCGCACTCTGCGGTTCGGTGTACACCCTGCTTCGAAAACTTGATCTGAATTTCCAGTATTGGCCCTCAAGAGACTTCAGATTAAGGCTCATACGCAATAATATGTTGAGTTTTGGTTTGATTTGGTTTTTTTTTTGTGTTTTTTTTTTGTCTTTTTCATTTTATAATATCACAGATTGCTCGAGATTTATGCTTTAAAAAAATAATATAAATCTGTACGTCTCGTCTTCGAAATTTTAGGCAATCTCAAACGCAAAAACGCTTCGGGCAAAGATTGGAAAAGGGAACAAAAACTATGGATATAGATCCCCTCGAGACATTCTTTAGGGTTTATGCCATTAGCTACTTACTATAAACATCAATTACAGAGCGGTTAAGAAATACTCCTCTCTTAAGGGACACCTCCTCTCTCACACTCTTTGCCTCTCTGTCTCTTTACTATATTGTGTTATGTTTGCTGTGGTCTTTGCGGTAGATGGAAGCGATTCCTCAACTGTGTATTGTGTACAAAATGATCCCAAATAATATGAAAAGCTAAGGGCCAAAGGGTTGCATACAAAAGTTGATCAATTTCGAAAAATAATTTAAGCCTTTCGCTGCTCATCCTACTCATCCTTGCCAGATGATCTTATCCTCATTTTAGTATTTGATTTTTTATCTAAATTTCAGTTCCGTTTTTTTCCCCACTTTGTATTCATACATTTTTCCGTTTTCCGTTTTCGGTTTTGTTCATTTTTCGTACTCTCCAAATCACAATTATTAGCAATTTAAGAATAAATTATAGCTACTCAGTATGTTTTGTATAATTCTGCTTCTGTTTCTCTTTCTGTTTCTGCATCCATTTCCGTTTCCGTTCTCGTTCCTGCTCTGGTTTCTGCTTGTATGTATGTATGTATATATATATATATATATATATTTCTTAACAGAGGTTTAGTCTAAATTTACAACTATCGGTAACGAGCACACACGGGAACCGGGACGGGCCGTGAACATGTTCCACACCACACAAAGACTACACTCAGAGCTCTATGCAAGTGCCTAAAAGATCTTACAATGATAATTCTTTCAATATCGAGTATTTCACAATACATTGTGTTACATTTAATGCAGACTACTCGTAGCGTAGAGACAGACTCTTTACACATATTGCAAATGTCTTTTGCTGTAGAATTGTATTCAACTGGTTGGGGTAAACGTTAGATTGTAACACCGAGAACAAACAAATATCTGATATCTGTTATCCATTATCCATTAACCATTATACATTCATTATACAATTATACATTCATTATGGGGGGGAGGATTCAGATGGTTCGCTATTACTGTGTATCTAGGGGTTGTATTCACTGGAATTCAAAATCTAATATCCCTATCCAGGCCTCTCCTATAGCTTCAGGAACTCGTCGAGCATCCGCTTGCGCTGCTGGTGGAGCGCCTGTTCCGAGAGCAAATACATTCCGATGTCGCCAAAGTTTTTCGTTAGTTAGTTGTTCGAGTTGCTGAAGAGCTGGTGTCATAAGGCGGTGGCCTCCTCCGAGCTGTTGCTGCGGCCCAGTCCGCCCAGCGAGGGCTTGCTGTCTGCGGCATCTGCAATACACCGAAGTTATAGTTGGAGAATCTTCTTCGATGGCGGTAGGGGGACAACGAAACCAAAGGCAAATGATAATGGTACTTTAACTTTAAACAAAAAGGATTTATTCAGGCAATCTCTAAAGGTATATACTATACTTCACATTTAAATAGGGGCAAATAATAATATTAATTAAAGATTAGGGATTAAAACATTCAGAATTGGATCTAACCAGCGTTGGCAATACATTACAAATTCTTGTATAAATAAAAAGATCTCCGACTAACAACTAAATTATCGCTTAGTTAAGATTACTGAAGGTAGATGTTAACTAGTTTCGATCCGAGGCGACTTTCAAACTTAAACCTAAGCGGAGCCGGGCGGGGGGATCATCTGCTGTCCGATGCCGAAGCCGACGCCGATGCCACTGGCTCTGTGTCTGTGGGCCCTGTTTTTGAGCTGGCACTGGTGGACACTTCGTCGCTCGTGGCGATTGGCTTGCCCGTTATGTTCGTGCTGCTGCTGACCACCGGCGGAGTTGTGCTGCCACTGGTCGTGGAGGTAACCCCCCCGGAAGCAGAGACGGTGTCTGGCGAGGAAGCCACAACCGAAACAGGCACCGGTGCCGGGGCCGGCGACACCGATAACCGAGTGCGCTGCTTCTCCTTCAGACATTCGCCTGCATCTGGCTTGACCCCACCAGTGGCAGGGGGAGTCGGTGTCGACTCTAGAATCTTTGGGGTCTCCTCTGAGCTTTTACCTGCTGCTGCTGCTGCTGCTGCTGCAGTGACGCCACTGACAACCGCCGGGAGCGAGGTGTTGGTCTCCGAGGTTGGACTGGCACTGCGTCGCGAAGAGTTCTCCGGCGAGCTGTCCGGCTTCTCGGGGGCTGCATTCGGGGTGGCCGGCTTCTTTTCGATGGCCGCCGGGGGTGGAGAGCTCTTCAAGGTCTGCTCCTCCTTGATTGCTGGACCCTGCTCCTTGGTCTCTCCCTGCGACGCTCCATTGGAATCGACTCCGTTCAGCTCGTGGTTGGTTGTGGTTGCTTGACTACTGCTGGCGTTGGAGGACGTCTGGTTGTTGCTAGAGTTGGAGTTGGATCCGGTAAGGTCAAGGGTGGCCGGCTCATGACTGATCGGAACCGCAGCGGCCTTCTCTACTATCATGGCCGACTGCTGGGCGGCCGCAGCTACAGCCGCCAGGTGATGCCTCATTGCGTGTGGACTGCCCCCGGCACGTCCTCCGTTGGAAGAAGCCGATCCGGCGATGGGTGGCGTAATCTTGGGCGAGCTGGGATGCGACAGGGGCTGCTGTTGGTGAGCAGCGGTCGGGGTGAGGCCGCTGGCAGCCGCCGCCGCCGCATGCATGGCCGCCAGGTGGCCGTGGTGGTAGTAGTGACTCATTGTGGCCATGTGCGAGCTGGCCGTCGAGGTGGTGAGGGCCCCTCCGCTGCTGCTGATGCTGATGCTGCTGGGCGTCGAGGTGGCCGCCTGCTGGTCGGAGCTCAGCTTAACGGCGGCCGTCAGGTTGAGGCTGCTGTGCGGCGAGGATGCGGACGAGCTGGAGCCGGCGGTCACCGGAATGGAGTTGCTGTGCACTCCTCCACCTGCCGACGACGTGTGCGGGGGCAGCTGGTGGGCGGCCATGGAGGCGGGGTGATGCGGGGACATGTGTGGATGGCTCAGGTTCAGGCTGTGGGGATGCGCACTCAGTCCCAGGGCGGCTGCCGAGAATCCTGGGTGTGGCAGACCAGGCGCTCCCGGATGGCCCAGCCCCATGGCCGCCTGCTGCAGATGGTGCTGCAGATTGGGCCCGTGTCCGCCCAGTGCGGCCACGCCTGGCAGTCCGGCCATGCCCAGATTGAGGCCCATGGCCGCATGCGGACTCTGCCGCTGGGCATTGGCCGCCGCCGCATGGTAGTGGGACATTCCGGGCAGGCCGTGCAGGGAGCCGGGCGGACCGCGTAGGCTCAAGTTGAGGTGGGGAATCATGTTGCCGAGCAGGGTGCGGTTGAGGGGCGAGTAGAGCTGACTGGAGTAGTGGTGGGAGGCGTTCAGCAGCTGCTGGCGGTCGCGCTCCCGCTCCTCGTCGCGCATCTTTCGCTCGCGGGCCTCCTTCTCCTTCTGCTCCCGCTCGCGCTGCTCCTTCTCCCGCTGCTCGCGCTCCCGCTCGCGCTGCTCCTTCTCGCGTTGCTCCTTCTCCCGCTGCTCGCGCATCTCACGCTCCTTCTCCCGCATCTCGCGCTCCTTCTCGCGATGCATCTCCCGCTCGCGCTCCTCCTCGCGGGCCAGGCGCGCCCTGTGCTCCTCCTCCAGCTTGATGCGGTCGTGCATGGCCGGCGAGATGCCCAGCGCGGCTCCGGGCATCATCGAGTACAGGTGCGAGTAGGGCGACGCCATCTGCGGGTACAGGGCGGCCGCATGGGGATGGGTGTGATGGGCACCGGCGGCGCGGAACAGCTGGTAACGATGCTCCAAGTACAGAGGATCCGAGTACTGCAGTCCCGCGGGGTTCAAGAATGCTGCAAGGGATCGAAAGGGGGCACATTAGAGCTGGCCAAGACAGCAAAGAGAGTTCTCGATTCTTACCTGCTGGTGGAAGCCCCGGCAGGCCCGGAAAGTGTGAGTAGGCCTCCAGGGGGAAGGCTCCCGCCGGATGCATCAGCCGCTCGTCCGATCTGTACGGCTGGAAGCCGCTCCGGGCCAGCATATCCGGCTGCATGGCCGCGCTCTGGGGCGTGTGGCTCAGCCGGGCGATCTTCTCCGGCGGCTGGGGCGACGGTGGAGAGCGTTTCTTGCTGCCCCCCATTCGGTCGTCCCCGCCTCCACTGTTGGCCATGCCACGCTCGGCTCCGCCGCGACCCGCCACTGAATTCATCGACCCCTGGCCCACCGACGTGGCCGGCGGTCCTTGGGCCACAGATGTGGGCACATTTCGGTCCCCGCCCACGTCCTCCTCCTTGATGTCCGCCTGCTTGGCCAGAGTCCGCAAGGCTGCCGCAAAAGACCCGCGACTGTTCGCCGCTGCCGCCGCGCTTATGGCCCCCGGGGGCATCCCCACGCCAGCCAACTGCTGCTGCACTGCAGCGGCCACCGCCTGCTGTTGCGCCTGGTGTTGCTGCTGTTGCTGCTGCTGCTGCTGTTGCTGGTGTTGTTGCTGCTGCTGCTGCTGGTGCGTCTGATGCTGGTGCTGCTGCTGTGGCGAGGGGGTGCCGATGTGGTTGCTGGGCAGGCCGTGGTTCAGCAGGCCACTACCCTGCGTGGGGGGCACCGGGCTTCCGGCCACACCGGAGCCCGGCGGCGTCTGCAGGTGATGCGGCACGGGGATGTGCGGTGCCGGGCTGGTTGCCGGTCGCTTTTGTCCAGCCTTGGGTGGCGCTGTAACGGGAAGAGGGGGGGGAGACGGGGTTCGGTTAGCAATGGCGATGACGAATGTGCTGTGGGATGACTCCGCCCTTCAAGTGGGAATCTGAGACCAATCCGCGTTTGACAAAATTCAACAGAATGCATATACAGATGGGATAGGGGCAGGGTCGGGAACGGGGACGGCGATTCCTCCTGTGTCGGATTTCCTTTGCTAATAACTGATTGATGTCGACTCTCCGCGTGTCGACCAAAAATTGCGCATTCGCCCCGTTGCATTTGCGGCAATTTGCATACCTATGGAGGAGCGAACACCCACTGGGTGGACACTGGCGTGGCCGATGTGGTGGCGCCACCGTCAGCGATGGACGAATGCAAATTGCAAAGGCCTGAAACTTGCATTTCGGACACGGCTCACTGAGGCATGCAGTGGCATGGAGCCAGCAAGGCCGGGAGTGGGCGGATGGAACACTTCTCTACCTTTGATACACCCTTAGCATCGCTTCCGCCCCCGCGGTCGCCACACTTGCCTTTTGAAGGCTCCTCCGCTTGTCGCAAATTGCACGCCCAACGAATTTATCGATTCTCGTTGCTCGTTTTCGGGTTGCCCGCTGCGAAATTGCTTTCAGATATGACAGCCACCAGTCGACCAGTCGACCAGTCCACCCCCATCCCATCCCATCCCATCCCACTTCGCTGCGCTATGTTCTGTTCCGTTCCGCTCCATTCCGCCCCAGCTCTTGCCAGCTCCGCCCCTTTCAGGTCAGCTCAGGTGATGGTTGCAGCAGCCGCCCACGAATCCCGACTCGACTCTGCTCGACTCTCGAATCGCCTGTCGCATTCAATGCCAAATGGAATTTGCAACGACAACATCGATGACATCGTGGCAGTTGTCCGAAATAAAAGGAAGGAGCGGAGCGGAGCAGAGCGGGGCATGTACTATGGATGTACGTAGGATTGGAAACCATTTCGCAGGTCCTTTGTGTACATTAAAGCCCCTCCCGACGCGTCCCCGAGCCTGGAACATTCCTCAACTGGAAAGGCAGTTGAGATTTCAACTAGAAAACCCAACAGCCAAAAAAATATACAATATAGGGAAAATATTTAGCATTTCGGTTAAAAACAACAGAGGCCCACATCCAAGGGGCGGTGGAAAGAAAAGGAAAACAACTGCAACATGGCTAAAGCCTCCATTCCCTTCCCTTGACAATCCCTTACATCACTTCCACTTCATAGATTGGGTTTTGTCTGGTATTTCTGTTGCATTTATTTAACGACTATCTCGACCCCAACCCGAGCCGACTTCGTTCTGGGAGAGTTTTTCTTCCGGTAGATGCATCCCTAGAATGTTTTGAGTTCTGTTGTTGTAGCAGCAGCAGCAGCAACAGCAACAACAGGCTCTGCCAGGACTCATCATCATCATCGTCATCATGATAGGGTCTGCGACGCATAAGCTCCTGGTTTAGAGTGTTTTGTGTCGTTTATAAGAGAGGTGGGACCCCGTCCGTCTCTCTCCACCCCTGGTGGTGCTCCTGGTGCTCCCCGCTCTCCGCCCCCCCGCCTGACGAGTGTATTTACCAAACTAAGCCCAAATAATGCCCGAAACTGCAGCAGAGCAACATTCGATGTAGACTACAACAATAAAATTCCGACGTCGAACCACTGCGAATGTGAATGCCGTGAGGGGAGAGGGGGCCAGAGGGTGCGGTGCCACTACGAATGCGGGGAGAGTGCCTCTGCTGCCCCTGCTGCACGGAGCAAAACCAAACAAAGCTTCTCGACGGCTCGATGGCTGGATGGTTGCCACTCTGCCCAACTCCCAAGTGCGGGGGGGGGGGGGCGGAGTGTGGAGAATCTCCTAGTTGCTAGCTGGAAATCTGCCTAAACCCCTTGCCGCACCTCCCCCCTCCTGACTCTCTATCCCTTGGACTGTTTGCCATGCAATGCCTGTTTGTTTGCATGGGTTTTGTGTACTTCAACATGTTCCCAGAGCCAGAACCAGAACCAGGGCCAGACCCGGACCCGAAACCGGACCCACTCGTAGTCCCCGAACATGCCACACCGTTACCGTCATTTTGCATTGCCACACCCTGCAGCAGGCACAGTGAGAGACAGAGTACGAGAGAGCGCTGCTCAGCTTTGCATTGAGAAGGCAATAGCAATATTTGCCGAATTTAATCAGCGCACTGACACGAGCCCAAGAGGCACCACAAAACACGCCTACCATCGGATGTGGACCGACGAGACGGAGTTCCATCCAAGCATTTCGGAATTCGGCATTTGTCCATCAAACAATCTGTGAGCATCGAGTGGGTGGCAGGTAGAAGCATCTCTTTAAGGATGCAGCCCCCCGATCAGAGCAGTGGCAGGCTTTCCAGATCTATCCACTGGCATCTACTGGATCCATCTAATCATCTCTTAATCACTTTTAATTGCCTTTTTCTACGGGCATTTAATGAATATTTGAATAAGCTCTCCAGAGCCTGGACTCCTGGGTGAATTGTGATTCGAAATCTGCACTCAATTGATTCATCCATCATTTATTAGCTCTGCTGCATCGGCTGTTGTTCTGTTAATTTGCTCAAATGAAAATCTAATTTTCCAAAGTCAATTAAGTGAACACCAGACTGGGACTGGGACTGGGACTGGGAGAGGGACAGCCACAACAGAATGCAATCATAACTGCCAATAAATAAATGCTGAATAAATTATGCACTGGACAATGGACCCAGTACTACAGACCCTCCTGCCGCATCTACGAATCGGAATCATCCTTTTTGCAAAATAGGCAATGGCTATTATTATTATTATAATTATTATTATTGTTGTTCGACCACGAGCATGAGAGTTTATCATTATTGCTGCTGGATGGATGCTGTTTGTCGTGGCATTTGTCACATTTTCGTATTTTCGAATTTTCAAATTTTGTGTTCCATTCGGCAAAATTGGTTTTTGTCGCTTGGGTTAATTAAAATGTTGCCTATTCCGATTCGGAATGCACCCAACCACAGAGCATTCAGTGGCCCCACATGCCCCGCCCCCCACCCCCCACAACGCCGCATGAACAGGACATTGTTCACATTAACACATGTTTCCATCCTCATCCATCCTCACCTCCGGGCGAGTCCGCCCCATCCCATTCGATATTATGGTAAACTCAGGCAGACCCATCCTCCATCTCATCCCTGGACAGCCCCACACAGCCCACACACAGGACATACGCAGCCATGTGGAGTGGCCGAAAATTCCTTGCATTGGAGAACTGTCAGCATTCACAGGCGATTATTCCACCACAACTAATTACAGTGGCAAACGGAGGGGAGGCTGCTGCCCGGCCCTCCTCCCACCGGCCATGGGGCTTTGGGGCTATGGTGCTACTGTGGCCAGGACATGTTTAGGTCAGCCACAGGACGAAATTCAGATGGCCAAAGTGCACTCTTGGCCAGGCCATGAATAATTTATTTAATAAATACATTCACAATTAAATCAAATGCGAAAATTGTGTGGCCTGGTCAGAGGACTCTGGACACTGGGACACCCTCTCTAATTACAGCAGAGAGAGAGAGAGAGAGAGCCTAGAATGGGCCTAGAATGGGCCTGGAATGGACAAAATATCTGTGCTTGGAATCCTTAAAGTCTTGGATAAAGCATAGGCTCTTCTTTCGAGTGAGGATTACAAGATGTTCGATCTGCAAGATGAACTCTGGTGCCCCTGTCTCTTCCACTCCGAAATACAGGTGCCAATTAGTATCCTGTTTGTGTGCTTTGTGCGGGCACTAAGCATATTCAATAATTCGCCTCCGCATGGGGGCCAGGCCAATATATTCCAATCAGCAGAAACATTCCCCCTGTAGCCGCCTGCAGCCTTAAGAAACCACCTCCTGGCAGGCTCCTGTGCCAGCATCCTTCTGCCATAGAATCCGAATCTTTGGTATTAATTTACTTTCGCATTCTGCAGCGTGTGTCTTGGTGTGTGTGTGTGTCCGTGTGGAGCACAAATTAATTATAAATTAAGTTTGATTCCGTTGCAGTGCGGCCTGGTCTCCCCTCCCTCCCTCCACCCTATTGTACCAGCTGTGTCCTGTGGATGTCCTGCGGCTGGTGGGGCACTGCAGCAGTGGACGGCCGTCAACTGCTTCTGCGGTTTCATATGCAATTATTTGTGCCATTTGTGCTGTGCCCCGACCCATGTCGACAGCTGCCTCAAAGCACGGTGGTGGGGCTTCGGGGTCCGGGCTCCTGCTGTCCGGCTGGTCCTGGCCACACACGCCCCGGGAGCTTTTGCGGCTGCCGCAGCACAATGAAAATCGGACAGGCAATCCAAAAGGAAAGACTCTCTCCCTCCTTCCTCCTCCTCCTCCTCCTCTCATTGCGAGGCTGTAGACCAGCCGGAAGCTGGAAAGAGGTGGCACAGGAGCTTGGGAATTTAGTTAGTTGGCAGCTCATGCATTAATTATGGCTGGTCTGTTGCGGTTCCAAAGACCCCCAGTGCCATTTCCAGCAGGACATCACAGCAGAGGACACAAGGACAAGGAGTGCAGCAGCTTCGCAAAAGACGGGGCAGGGCAGGGCAGGGCAGAGGACGACAGGAGCCAGAACTGACCGCAGGAACCGAGTCCCAGCCGGATCTGACCCGACTAGACCATCAATTTGGACCATCGACCATCGACAGCACAGACCCATGCCCATGCCCCATCGGGAACGGAAGGACTGTGGTCACGCCTCCATTTAGCCAACTAAAATTACCAGAATTTTCCCCAGGTCGGGGGAGGAGGCAGTGTAATATGATTTGGGCGGCACAGCCAGGTCGCATCCCGCATCCCGGCCTGCCGCTTGGACCCACTGACCATGGCCGTGCCCGGGCCAAACAAGGTTATTAGACACACAAAGCCACAATAAATATGCATAGTAATTTCATACATTATCGTGCAGTTGCATACAGTTCCTGTGTACAGTGCAGGAAGCCCCAACACATCCCCCCAACAGGTCCTGAGCATCCGGCACATCCTGCTGCT